ATTTTAATTTTGATTAACTGAAAATATTTAGACAATGTTATGGCTTGTATCTAGATGTTCCCTCAAAGCCCCATTTGCTCACAGGTGGGGCTTTTTCATAGTTGGTGTATCTAGGGCATGAGATAATAGGATTAAGGATGTGTGACAGTACACAGGTCCCCTGATTCGAACCAGCATACTTCTGGGTATGGATGATTGGAAGGCCCACCATGGGTGTGAGTAGCACCACCCAAACAGAACCTGGATGGGATAAAAGCTAAGGGAGCTTTGTTTCACTGCTGCTTCTGATGCTTGCTGCCTGATGCCTCCTCTTGCTCTGCCATAGGCCGCTTCCTCTCTGCCATGCCGCCCCACCTTGGAACCATTCAGCTATGACCTGAGATCTGTACAAAATGTGAATGTGCTAGCTACAGAGTCATAGGTAGATGATGAGAGATGTTTTCTGGGCCAGACATCTTTATTGTTGAGTAGTTGCAAGGTTTGGGACCTCATGGGAGAAAGTGTGAGGTAGAAATGAGGTTAGTAAGGTACTGGTGTCACGATTTACACCGCAACAACTGGCATGGCCACACCAGGACTGTTTAAGTTGACAGTAAGACTGAATCTCATGTCTGTTAGTCTTTTCACCCATCTCTTGTCCTGTTCAAGCTTCCTGAGCCACTAATCTTAGGAAATAAGTGAAACATTTGGTCATCTTGCTTTGAATAATGGCCATTGCCTTTCTCAACGTATACTGCTTGCATTAGTCTGGAGTTTTTCTGTCAGTTCTGAGCGGATTCTGCATCTTGATTGGAAAACTCCACTTCTAGTAAGACGTTAAAATTATACTTTATAGAGCTAGGGAGTGAGCTCAGCAGTCTAAGCGCCTGCCTGGAAAGTGCAAGGACCTGAGTTTGATCACTGGTACTGCATGCCACATAGGGCACACTGGGCCAACCACCAAAACCAGTTGTGGTGGCTCATACTTGTAATCCCAGCACTGGGGAGGCTCAGACAGGAAGATCACTATGAATCTGAGCGGTGTAGTGAGACCCTATACCAAATAAATAAATAAAGAAAGAAAGAAAGAAACACTAAAAAGTTTAAAATACTTTTTATACTTTATGTTCATTATTAATAAAAGGAAAACATAAGGTGCCTTTTAAATAAAATCCTTTACTGAAATAAAAATGATAGGATTTAATCTTTCTCTGGCCTGCAATACCTGGTTGGATTATCACACATTCCTTTCAATATAATTTAAATTATATTTTGATACTATAATCTTTATTTTCATATTGCATATTCTCATTTGCTCAATAATCTAATGTAACTGATGATAGACATTTCAGCTCATATAAATTAGAAGACTGCTGAACTTGGAAAAGGGAGAGAAAGGACAACTATTTAGAAGAATATTGATAATGCAATCAAAAGAGCAATCCTCAGCGACTGTATTTTCAGGAACATTGTTCTATTACTGATTATTTCAATAATATTGTCTATAATGATATTCAGTATCATTTGATATTGTCAAATACTTATATGATAAAATATGTACTAATTATTTGGTCATTAAAAACCACTGTTTGCTAAAACTTAGATTCAATTCTTCAATTGTGAGTATATATTTCTGAGGTTTAAATAAATTCTTATTTTGTTTTTCTAGTGATGCTAGTTCATACTGTTGAAGTCAACAACAGATATTTCAGATTGTTTTGAATCATTACAGTTATAATTAATCCCTATTTCAGAACTGGCAACTTTCAAAAATGTCTCCTTTTAAAAAATTCAGTTGAATTACTGAATTAGCCCATTTTTAACAGAAAGTTTTTCCATTAAACACTCATAGCTCATTTCTTCAATAACTGCAATCATCAAAGGCAAGTCAATTAAAGGATCTGCTTGACCTCCCATAATAAGGTATGAGTCAGAACCTTTAAAGCTAAGTTAAAATGGACATCAAATTTTCTTATGAGTTGAAAGTGTCCACAATGAGCAGAGAAATAATAGATTACATGTATTTGCTAATACTCAATACAAATGACAGATGATTGTGTATAGATTGTGAAAATGAGAACATATAAATTTGAGATCATAGTTTCAGATTCTCTCAGAAGGGCACTTTAAAGTCTAATGCAATCACCCATTTGAATATTGCATCCATGCCATCCTACCTATCCCTTAAGGAATACATATTCTTTCAGTGCTTTCACTGGGAAATATTCACACTCATTTGAAAATCCAGAAGCTCTAAGCTGATATAAGAGAGCAGGATATAACCTAATTTACACTGCGTGTTATTAGCACGGATTAATATTTGCTTCTGTTTCTAGATAGTAGAGAGTTGAAGCATAATTTCCTCCTGAAGGGTTTCTACTAAATTGCATTGCATTTTATAGCTATACTGATAAGTACTATTTGATCATGGAGAAAGCTTCTCTGATTGAGGGTCTCCAGAATCATTTTATAGGCTCTGACTACATTAGGAAACTTCAGGTAAAAGTTTCCTACATATTACCAGGATTGTGAGATATTCACATGGATTATGAGGTGAAAGAGAAGTCTAGGTTTACACTTTTGAATTCATTTGGAGGCCTACCATGGAAACGTGAGGGATACAATTTATGCATTATCAATAGCAGATTTCTGGTCTTCATTCTACCAACAGTAAGTTTTATCATCATGAGTGTGTTACTGTATTTATCTAATTCTCAGACTCCTCATCTATAAAAGGAAAATAAATATGTCTACATTCAGGATCTTGTTCAAGGAAACAGTGCAGAATATGTTTTAAGACACACTTGATCAACAATTACATCTTTAAATTCATCAGCAATGCAATTTTGGAACCCTAATGCTTTAATAGGAAGTAAAAAAGTTTAATGAACACATAATTACAAGTTGTATAAGACTTACATTACTAAATGTCATCCCAATAAAAAGAAAATTAGGCTCAAGCATTTCGTTCCTTTTGCTTGTGACTTCCAAGACCTCAGAAGACTAGGGAAATCTTGAAGACAGCAGTTTTAAGCCTCTAAATATAATTAAAATGAAAACAGCTGCTACTGATTAAGTGATATGTGCCCCTCACTATTCTCAAATGCTTTATACATATTTTCTTTCACATTACAACTGGAGATTGGTCTTTTCAAATCTGTCCTCTACTGACGAAATTCCTTTGATGCTATATTTGATTAAAACATGAAAAAGTACATTTGGTCTCATTCTCGACTCTTCTCTATTACATTTAGTACATACTCTGGGTTGGCAATATGTAGTTAGAAATGACACTGTTTTCCTTTGGCCCTTGAATTAGGTTAAGAATTGCAAGATTTTGATTTTGAATTACTCTTTCACTGTATGATGCATTTTAGTTAGAAATTCTAAAAAACATATACAATTCTTGAGCTTGATTTTACTATGTTTATATTCAATTATTTACAACTGTTTGAAATATGAATATAGCATTGGCATTCATTGATTTATTTACTGATTCATTCAAGTGATAATATAATACCTACTGTTCTATATACAGTTCTAGTTTCAAATATGTAACAGTGACTGTCATGTCTTTTTTCAAATTTTCCTTGATAAATTATTTTTTGAAGGCTAACAAAACAACAGCAAAACCCTCCTTCCTCACTTCTCAGTATTTTATCTTTAGTTAGTGACATCTTTTACTGTATTTATATATTTTTCTTTCACAAATTCTTTTTTTTTCTACAAGTTTATAAAACAGCTACACAGTAGTTCTATTTTTCCATGGCAGTTCTTGTTGATTAACACTGCTAATATCAGCAGTCTTTACTTCCTGAATATGACATAGTTAATATTTGCTGTTTTGAGGTAGGACTTAATATTATGACAATGTGACTATTTTTACGTTTTTTGGAGAAAGGTGATTCTCCATCTTGAAACAGTTTGCAAATACTGTCCAAATACTTTCATGATATACACATGAAAGATCACTATTCTTGCTTTCTTGACAAAAATACCTGTGCATAAAAATTGTGCCCTTCTAACTGCTTATTTCTGGAGGTAGACTGAAGTTTAAGGACAAGTATGGACCCCGTGCCACCTAAAAAGAGCTTCACTTGCTGTATCTTTGAGAAAAATACAGTTAATAAATTCTAACCCTTTCTTGCATAAATTTTAGTTAAGCAGCATGGTGATCATCTAGTTAATGTCCATGATGCTAACAATTTTGATGTAGAATATAATTTCATGTAAGTGGGCACCAAAACACTCTCGAGTCCTGCCAAATCTTCGCTTATAAATGTACTTACTAAAATTTTTACTCTAAATATTCACATCTTGAATCACAAAGCTTGTACTATAAACAGTATATTTTTTTTTCCAGTCAAATTAATGTTGCGGCCATGTAACACTTCTGCTTGCCGTGTCTTGCAACTGTTCTTCTCTCCTTCCCATTGCTTTCTCATGCGAGTCTTGATTACTTCATGTTCCCTTTGTGGGATCCTCCCTGGTCATTGTCCCTGGTCTCATTACACTCAACTCATCTTGATACCTAAATATTATTTCTGTTTCAAGTGTACCTAATCTTGATTCTAGTATGGAACTTCAATCTCACCACTTCCTATTTGTTTTTTGGAACTGAGGGCTTTTATACTCACAACTTACACCAGGGCACAGAGTACCTAATTTTGATAGAGAATTGTTTAAGGTACGCATGCCTGCTTCTTCCATAGAACAGGAAATTCTTTCTGCACAGAAGACAAATTCTTATGAGCTTTGCCCAAATGTCAAGTAGCTGATTCTGAGTTTTGTCAAAATGACCTTAATTAGACTCCTCAGAACATTGAGCAGAGTGACTATCACTCAATATAAATTTAAGTACCACACAGTAAAATACCATAATGGCAAGACCTCACTGGCCACACAGAAAAGTATCTCAAGAGTATACAGATGCAGCAAGCTTTGAAGATGTCTGCAATATTAAAACTTATTTCTTTCATCGGTCTACATTATTTCAGTGCAATTCAAAGTGAGTTACTTACTAAGGCAAATTTTTTGTTGAGAATCATCTGCTCCACCAAAGAGGACTCATTGTGGAAGAGGTGGGGCTGCATGTGGCTCCACATGTGGGGAAACCACCAGAACTCATCCACAGACCCCAATAGACAGTCGTCCCCTTCATCTTCCTCTTTAGTTCCTTGAGGGAGAAAACCAGGATACAATTAATTCAATTGCACTTCTCTACCTGCCTAGCTGTTTATCCTCCATCATTTATCTACTTATGTGTCTATCTTACATGCATATAAGACTTTAATATTGTGACAATGTGACTATTTTTATGTTTTTTGGAGAAGTGTAGCAGAAATGTTTTGTATGAAGTGTCGCAGAAGGAAAGCTAATAGGAAACAACCAGAAATGGTGACATAATTCTTCTGAAAGTTGTTAAACTGGAGATATGGATACCATGGAAATACAGAGCTATTTTTAAGGACAGTAGAACTCTGAATGTTTAGTGCAATTGTGATTTGGAAAGAAGAGGTGATCTGGAGAAAATGCCAGTGTGAGAATGTAAGTACAGAGAGGGTGGGAGAAAAAACATACAAGATAGTTAAGCTACTAGTTTCTCTTACTTCATTAAAAAGATTTGTGCTAATATTGTTTGGAGAATTGTTTTATGCGTATATATATATATATATATATATATATTTTTTTTTTTTTTTTCTGGAACCAAGGATTGAACTCAGGCCCTTGTACTTTCCAAGGAAGCGCTTATTCCACTGAGCCATCTCCCCAGCCCCTATGCCCATATCTTGTACTCTGAGTAACTATTTTAAAGATAACAATATTCAATGTATCAATTATCATTATTCTTCTATTATTTTGTCATACATTTTTAAAATATGATGAAAAACAGCAAAAACAATTAGAAATGATACAGAATTTCAACAACCAAAATGATAGGAATCCAACAATAGTTTTTATACTGTTTGTTGTTGTCTTCAAATTAGTTCTTCTTTTTTTAAAATTTTGTTTTACCTTCATTCCATAAAATAAAAAAAGAAACGGTGTGTAGTCCCAGATTTAAATCATTTTTACATGGGTTGGGTATAGAGTCATAACAACATAATTTATTTCAGTCCCTTGGGGTATCATGTCATTTAGAATTAAGTTGGTTATTTATTGCAGTTTTGGCACCGAAAATAAGCAAAAGTCTCTTGAAATTTCCCAGTTATTAGTTCATTTCTGTTTTCCCACCAATGAGACTATGAATAAAGTGAAATATAATTTTCTAGTTTATGAAGTTTCTGCTCCTAGGATTTTAAACTTTATTCCTTGTCAGATGTAACTGTTATTTTTTCTCTGAATTGTCCTGTCATCTCTCTGGATTCATCAGCTAGTTAACCTTTGCTCAAAGTTTGTCAAGACAGAACACCAGATATCAAGTTATTTTTAGAAAGGTAACTTAGGCATTTTTTGACCTTTCCTGAAGATCATGGTTATATCTGTGATCACAGTGTTCATACATTGGAATCACGTAGGAGTTTGACAAATGATGTCTGTCTTTAGACAGAATTTTTTTTAATACACAGTAGGCATAATTGTATGTCTTTCCCCCTTATAGCTTTGTTTGATTTGATTTCCTTTAATCCTAATTTGGGTGTGTTTTAAATCAGAATTTGTTACGTTGAAAGCATGTCTTTTTGCTCATTGCTTTAAATATTATGATAAAAAGCAGTTGAAATGTAGTTGTAAATGTTTGGCTTGTCCTGGGTTCTTGCTCTTCCTTAATTCCTTCACATTGCCCTCTTCAGAAATGGAGGAAGAAAGAGGAAGAAATCGAATTCGTCAATTATAGGTACTATTTCTTAAATTATTTTAAAAAGATGCTTAAACCGTATGAAGTTACTGCAAATTGCAACTTGTTTTGTTGTGTATCTATTCAAAAATGTATCTACAGTGTTGGCTTCTTTGCTGTGAAACTAAAACTACAATTGGTTAAGTCTTTACCTTGTGTTAAACATTGTGTTAACTGTTTATATTTCTTCATTTAATTCTCATAACACCAAGAAATAAAGTAAGAGAGGTGAGGCATTTGAGAGTGTTGGGAAGGAATCTGAGGTTGGAACTTTAATTCTATTCTGAAAAAACAACTCCAAATTCAGGACACTTAGATATCATTTACTGATCAAAGGAGGGAGTCTAGAATAAGATCATAATTTCCCAATTGAATACCACAATGTTTTCTGCATTACTAGTTTTATTTATTTATTTATTTATTTATTTCTGTATTTTAGGGAAAGTTCTACAGGGTGTTCAGTGTCTCACTACTAGATCAGACTCATAGTGATGCTCCTGCTTACAGCCTCCCAAGAGCTGGGATTACAGGTGCACGCCACTACACCCAGTCTCAATTGCTTTCTCAGCACACCCTGGGGGTGGGGCCAGCAAGCAGGCCCATGGATCAAATCCCTGGGACCTGTGCCTAATTGCTTTAATCGGCTGAGCTCTTTGGCTGGTCCTAGGATTTATTTCTTTATTTCTGTATTTTAGGGAAGTTCTATAATGTAAATAGGATCTACAGATAACTGTTGCTTCTAAGTCTCTTGGTGAAACGTGCCAACTTAATGAACCGTACATGAGGAGACTTTTCTGCCATTGAACTCAGACCCTTGCTCTTGCCAGGGAAGTGCTTATTCCACCTAGCCATCTCCCATGCCCCAACATTCTAGCCTTCTAGGGCATATGATTTGGGCTCTGGTTGATCTAGGGCAAGCCTTCTTTTAAATCTTAACTAGTTAAATGATTTTGGGCTTCTGTATGTTTGCATGTTCTTACCTAGAAAATAAGATAACATATTTTGTAACTACTAGGATTTGTTGAAAATGTACAGTTCATGAAAAATGTTTACTACAATACCCTGCATATGGTTATTGCTCAATAAAATGGAAATATGATTTTTATTTTCACTTCTCACAAAAGTGTTCAAATCCTTCAAAAATGAAAATAAATCACATAAAATAAAGCTCTCTTTTGAAATACAGTCTTGTTACGATGGTGGTGCTTCTCTTTGTCTTCAAGAATGAGGGAATAGCACTGAATTTTTAATAGAAAAAGGAATTGTTTAGTTTAAAAAACAATGCACTTAATTAAATTTTATAATATCTAATTCTTGATAGACTGTTAAATTTTATATCTCTTCCCACTGAAAAATGATTGCTCTGGTCTTAGATGGTTCTGGCTATAGTTTTATGGAAACTTTCACATTACACACAGATAACAAGGTCCTTTCACACCTCTGGCTTTAGCTTTTTCCTGTCTCTGAGGAGAGCCAGCAGCCTTGCTGTGAGCTGTGGGAAGCCCAAGTAAGAGAATGGGACAGATATATCAGAGATGAGAAGGAAGAACTGCTGGAGTAATTTTGTAGTATTGTTTTTGTCAAGAGGAGAACTGAATTGCCATAGTATTTTCTTGTATTTCTTACATGAGGTGGGCTCTCATGACTTTTCTCCTGTGGTTGTTCCTCTAGTCTCCATGAAACTATGTCTTTGATCTTGCCCAGGTGATTCCTTATCTTATGCTAATTTTATTTTTTTCAAAGGATGTCAAACCACCTAAAATGATCAGTTTGAAAGTAGAATATATTTAAGAAGAGTTTATGAACACTCTTAAATGTTCATTAAATTTTTGGGGCTCTACACTGTTAAATTTAGTAGTGTTGATGAGTCTAACTTTGCTAAAAAGATGAACTGAACTTCTGCATGTAAAGACACAATTTTCACTTTATATAACTATGACAAAGTAAATTAATTTACTATAAATGATTTATAATACATATCTAATTGTGTTTTCAGGATTGAAGCTACAATAAGAATAGGCACTAATTCAATCATACAAAGTTAAGATTATGAAGTTCTCGTTGATCTTTCAATTACAGAACTAGTGTATCTTATTATTGTTCTAAGTCATTCAAGTGAACAAAGCTTTAAAGCCTATGTAAAAATAACTTTTAAAACCTATAAAGCTTTCAGATCAGAAAAGAAAATCATATAGTTGTATAATTATATATTACACATTATGTGACATGGAATATACTAGAACCAAGCCTTAGGACTCTGAATTTTATACAAACAAAGTGAAAATCCAATTGTCACAGAAGTACAATATCACTATTGTCCAAAATTGAAATTCCTACTTGTGTTATGTGCAGAGAAACTTACATTAGTTATACATAGGTTGAAGTCTCATCATGGTAAGCTTACTATAATTTTGCAGGGAATAACTCAATTATATATATATATATATATATATATATATATATGCATTCATGTCCATATCACCAAATTAAAATGTCTAAAAGCATTTGCAATTGTAGAAAAATATTTGATAGACTTTAAAAATACATTTAAAAATTATTCGTGTTTTTAGGTAAATATGTTACAGATATGCGTATGATGCAAAATGCAGAAAGTGTAAAAGCAATGCAGTACAATGTAACATCCTTTCATCCTTGTTATTCAGTCTTCAGATTCTTCAGAGATACTCATTCAGATCCATTTATTATGCATCATTACAGGCACGCTACATGCCTGTATTAATATCTATCTGCGTATGTGTAAGTTACATAACTACTCTATAACTCAGTTTTGTAAGCTTTAAAATTAGCTTTCTGGAGTTGTGCAAATTTTACCCCTTTTATTTCTATACAAGTGATGGCACGTTGCACTTACTGCATGGCAATTAGTGTACCTTGATAGCTCACAACATTTCTTAAGAGCTCTTTCCTGATCAGTTACATTTAAAATTTTCTCTGTTCTTTTAATAACAGAAGAATATTTCATCATATGGATTGCAACCATAACTAACTTTTTATTTTCTAAAATATATATTAATCATGAAATTGTGTTCACCTATTCTCAGGCAAGAAAATCTACATTTCAGCATATTAATTATGGTTGAGAAAGAAACTTTTAATTCATCTTAATATTTAAAGTGATTTTTCACAACAGAACATGATCAAATTTTATTCTGTGCCCTTGTTACACATAACTACTAATAACTAAAAGATGATTTTATTGTCACTAAGTCATTTCTTAATTAATTATTTTTAAAAATGTATTGAGTACACGGTCTACAGGGTCTCACTACACAGATCAACTCATAGTGATCCTCGTGTTTTCAGCCTCCAAAGTGCTGGGATCACAGGCACGTGCCACCACACCCAGTCTCAATCACCATCTCAGTGTGCCTGGGGGGCACCACATACCAAGGATTGAACCCCAGTCTATGCATCTGCCTAAGCTGGTGCTTTAATCTGCTGAGCTATCCTCAGGCCCTCATTAATTCATTTTTAATAGGCATTGTTCTACTTACTGCTGTAACACCAGTGGAGCCCTCATGGAATATTCATTTTATTGTGGGAAGACACAACTGATAAATAATTTAAGGCCAAGTCTCTTTAATATCCTTGCATGATAAAATTCTGAGCAACCTACAAAAAACAGGGCTTCTCTAAGCTATTAAAGAGTGCTGCAAAATGGTTTATTAGAAGATTCCTTTTTAGAACACAAACCTTTTGAGAGTTTCCCCACTGATGTCAAAATAAGACATAGTGCCATCATCCCTACTTTTATTTAAAACTGACCTGGGTATGAGCCAAGTGCAACTGGCAATAAAAGAAACAAAATTCATAAGGTTAGGAAAGAATTTGCATGATAATATAAGTAGAAAATCTAAAAGTATTTCTAGACAAAATATATAGTGAATCTAAACGTATCTACAGACACAGTATATAGTGAAAAACTCAAAGCAGAAAAGATATTAGATACAGGATCAGTGTACAACATCGGGGATATATTTGCATCAGGAAGGGAATGGAAAAGTTAAAGCAAGATGCCATGTACAACTGAATAAAAAATTTTAAGGAACGAATATAAAAACTAAAAGGATTGCTCAGTATAACTAAGGAAGACTTGAACACATTTAAGGTTTTAAAGTGTCAATTTTCCACTGATCATTTTGTAGATTTAATTCAATCTCTATTACAGTTCTAGCAAATTTGTCTGTGGATATTTGTAAGCTGATTGAAAAATTTATATGAAAATGCAAATAGTCAAGAATAGCTAAGGTAATCTCAATCAAAATAAACAAACTTAGAGGACTTATATTACCAGATATTATTATCAATGATAAATTTACAGAAAATGAGACAGAGTACAGGAAAAAACTCGATCCAATGGGACAGCCAATCGAACCTGATACACATACAGAAATAAATTCCAGATTGATAAATTTATGTATTTTGAATGTTAGAAAATATTTTTAGTATCCTGTAATATGCAAAGATTTCTTAAGACTGAAAAATCTTACCATAAAGGAAAAAAATGATTTGGACAAAAATTAAAATTTAAAATATTTGTCCATTGAAAATATCAATAGGAACAACCCAGAGAGTGAGAGAAGGTGTTTGCCACACGTAAAGACTAATTAAGAATATATAACAAATTTCGACAAATCTGTAATACAAATCAGAAACTAGAAAAAACCCCAAGTGCTTCTTAAAGAAGACAGACAGTCAATAAACATGAAATAAGTTAGCCTGCTCCTTAACAGATAACTATATATTAGAACCATAATATGATCTTTCTACATGTCTAACACAAATACTAAAATTAAAATAAAAACAATATCAATACTGGCAATGTTGCAGAGTAACCTGAACATTTATACTACTGAAAATGCAAATTAGTAAAACAACTATGATAAACTAATTAGTATCTCCAGTTAGAGCTAATGACATATGTGCTGTGTATTCTATTTTTGAATAATAACTAATAGAAAAGAGTAGCAGTTCACTGAAGAACCAGTATCAATATGACTATTAAAAACAAGAAAGAAATAACACAGCCATTCCCCTTATGGTGTAATGGATAAAGAGATGTTGGTATACATGGTCAAATTATGGAGTATTACACAGCAATGAAAAATTACAATGGATATGTGAGAATATTTATGAAACCAAAATAATGTTGACAAGAAAAGGTTGGATAGAGGTGAATCATTTAATTAATAAAAGTGAGGGTAGAAATTTTCTTTAATGGAAACTAGTGGACTGTGAGTGGCCACAGTGCTAAGAATTCTGCTCCTATTTTCTTTCTTGATCTTCCCAAGGCTGTGTAAAGTTTCTACATACAGTTTTTGAAAGGTCACTGAAGATCAAACTTAATATTCAAGTAAGTTTACAGAAGTTATAGTTCAATAAAAGGAAGCCCACTAGATAATATTATAGATATTCAAACTATGAACACTGTTTAAGGGTTAAAAGTAGTACGTTGAATGGGGTAAAGTGATATAAAGGTACAGGGGAGAGACACAAGGAATGCGGGAGAGTGTGAGAGCAGGGTGTGCGATCTTAGCTAGCGTGGTCAGAGTGACCTCATGGGAACAGTTGGTCCTGGTTTCTTACCTGTGTGGTAAAATTTCCCTGAAAATCCCAGGTTGAATGTAAAATTTGTGATTTGTGCACGCAAAAGAGTCTGAGCATCAAGCAGGGCCTGAAACATAGAATTGTAAAACAAATGTATCAAGTTGAAAATGGCACTGAGAACTTTTATAAAGATATTTTCCCTTTGCAGTCAGAGAATAAAACCACTTCTTTTTACATGACAGAATTAAAGAATAGGAAGTAGTTTATCACTGTATAACTAGACAGATACTTTAGAAATTATTATTAGGCTTACTGGCACATTTAGATACCCACAGTGGTCACATGCATCACAGGGCATTCACACCTGTACGTGATGTATTTCGACTCTTCTCTTTCCATCCCTCTCCTCTCCCTTCAGCTTCCTTTCCCCTCCTTATTTACAAAATCTTTGTTTCCATTTTATCCTCACTTTCTCTTATTTTTTTCTTTTCCCTTTGGGTCCTTTCTCCTCCTTGTTCAAGAATCCCTGTTTCCTTTTGAAAGACTTTCTATTTTTCAATATCTATTATGCACTTTAGTTCTTACTCATATTTTTAGTTTCTCATGACAGACAGAATGCAATATTTACACTTCTGTCTGATTTATTACAGTCAAAAAGTATGTTCTCAAGGTGCACCCATTCAGCTATGAATGTCTCACCCTTATTCTTTATGGTTGAGAAGTATTCCACTGCATAAAAATACACATCTAATTTTTTAACTCCTTCATTGGTTGATGAGCATTTGGGTTGTTTCCAAGATTTAGCTATTACAAATTGCACTGTGATAAAACATAGGTGTGCATATGTCACTGTGGTATGATACTTTTAATTATTTTGGGAAGATACCAAGAATGGGAATAGCTGGGTTTAATGGGACCCTTACACTAGAAAAATACTTTTGGAATGGCATAAAACACATATTTACTCATTATCTTCCAATAAATTAATGAGGGTGAGCTGGAAGAGAGAAGTTAAAAAGAAAGTTTAATCTGTGTCTATCAGTTTCCTTTCATACCCATACATGACCCCTCAGATTCACTGATGCCCAATTGTCAGAAGAAAGACACTCATTTCAGGCAAAGCTATGCCAGAGTGTGTGTGGAAAGACACAGATTATTATTTCTAGATATATCCTTTGTCTTAAGAATAGAACAGTTTTCATCCATAAATCTGAGATTTCCCCAAAGACAGATTGCTGCTCAAAGAGAGTATCATAGTAGATTTCTTATTTGCTGCTTTAAAATAGAGATGAATTACGTTCTTATCTTACAAGTAAAATTATTTCACAGCAAGATTTTATTGTAATATCATGTAATATACCTGGCTATGTGTATTTAATGGACCTTTCTTTATATTTCTGTTCTCATTCTTTTTATTTTAAGTTTTTATTCTTTTTGGTATAAGGTCTTGCTACACAGTTTGGACTCCTCGAGATCCTTCTGTCTCAGCCTCCCCAGCACTGAGATTACAGGCATGTGCCACCTTGCCCAGTTTTGGTGGCCAGCTCAGTACTCCTGGGAACCTGAGGCTGGTGTGGCACATGTTTGCCAGGCAGGTGATTAGACCTCTGAGCTATCTCCCCAGCCCTGTTATTTCTCATTCTTATTTAAATTTTAATTCCTTTTCCTTTTCTCATAAACATAGAATAGGTAAGAGCCCACCTTAATTAGACAAAAAATTGTGTTAGATTTGAAAAAGACCCTGGTCCACAGTTCCTTTAGAGAAATGAAGAGAAATTAGTTGCTCAGATTGACAGTAGACATTAGATTAAAAGTATAATTCCAAACTAGGTCTTCTTTTCCCTCTGCTATTCCAGATTCTTCTTTCTCAAGTACACCTGTACAAAATCCTGTTTTCATAGAGATGCCATAGGAAGTACGTGATGCTCACAGACACAATCTCTTTGGGGGGATAAACAGATAAGAAGTGTTTTCTTCAATGTCCATCCTGTGATTGCATGTCTTATCTGAAGGCAGGTGATTCTGCCTGACCTGTATAACCAAAAAAAAAAAGAAAGAAAAAAGAAAAAAAAAAAGAGATCTTCTGAATCTTAAATTTAGATGCACTTGACAAATAGCTTTAAAAATTTAGATAGCTGATTCTTTTTTGTCTTAATTTTGTTCATACAAAGTCTTTGGTGTGCATCACTGAGCACACAATGTGCGCGTCCTGACGATACTCGAAAATGGAAGACAGTCCTATCGAAGGAACTCCACATGAGGAACGAAAGGGTGAAGTGACCGCAGGACCATCAGGCAGAAGTTTGGCCTTTTCCTTACAAAGGTGGGGGATGGGTGGGGCAGGGGAAGAGCTGACCAGGTGAGTATGTTTAATTGATGAACGGGACGTGTAGTTGGTAAGGTTGGACCCTGGTAAATTGGGGTGCTTCCTGGTGTAATGCATGAGCGTTTTTCTTTCTATCCTGATGGCAGGAACATCAGACAAGAAATATAAAGGCATGGATTCACAATGCAACTCTGGAAATTACCTGACTGTATGCCTGTCAACCAATGATTGGATGGAGAAAGTGTAGTACTACTCACGCACAATGGAGTACTATTCTGCCATAAATACAATAAACTTGAGTCATTTGTAGGAAAATGATGCACCTAGAAATCATAATGTTAAGCCAAGTAAATCAGATACATAAGCTTAAATATTGCATATCTTATATGTGAAACAAAAAATATAAATAGGGTGAAAAATAAAAGATAGATTCTAGGAAATAGACAGATCTTTTGCAAAAGGGAAGACGGCCAAGAGGGAAAAAAGAGGAGTAGAGAAGGGGGTGATAAAAGAATTAGGATGTGTTATATAAACGTACCAAGTCCCCCTGAGGATGGGACCACTATGTATTGCAAACATGTCCAGAACTAATAAAACATGAAAATTGAAAAAACTAAGGTTGGGAGTTAGGTGGTTTCAACTGGAATCCTGGCTCTACTCACTCATTATTTGTAAAGTTAGGATAACAATAATTATCGCAAGCTCTGTTGTGAGAGTTAAATGAAACAATTCATTTATGGGCTTGCATAGTAACTAGTATTTGCTCAACTATTATTGTTATTCTTTCATGATATCTGCTGTTATTATTACTACTACTAGTATGACTGCTATTGTTAAATGATACAAGACAATTTGCATTACCATGTTTGACATTTTCCCTTCATTTGTAAAGAGGAGACAGTAATCTAACTCATGAAATTGTGATCTGAATTATAAAAAATAATATCTGCAGAAGTGGCTGTTAAATAAGCACCACAAAATATGAAGTTTTTGATACTGTAATCATTGGTTCTACCTATCCATCCATCTCTCTCTCTTTCTTTCTCTCTCTCTCCATCCATCCATCCATCCATCCATCCATCCATCCATCTATCCATTTACCCATCCATTTATCTATCTACTTTCCTTCTAGCTCACTTGCTACCTACAACCCCTTTCTCCTTATTTTATTTACTCTCAGGGTTCTCCTATTCTCATTTCTCCCCTTCCTTCTCTTATTTCTTCTGCACAGTTTAACAGTTTTAGCTAACTTCTCCTTTCTTTTCTTCTTAGATGGTATTTTTACATTTTACTCACCACATTTCATTCTTTAAAATTGCTTTAGTTTAGTTTATCAGTACACGTGGGAAAAGCATTATTATATTCCTTGTGGAGAACTGGCACATGTGACACACATTTCAACTCCTTTCTTTATTTCATTCCTATCTCTTCCTTTCCTCCATGTCTTGATTTCTTTCTCCTCTGAGAAGCATCTAACTCCCTGCTTCCTACTACCTAATTTTTCCAGAAGTACAAATGACCAATAAATATGCAAAGAGATGCTCAACATGGTTCCTTTTTTTAAAAATTTTATTTTATTTATTTGTTTATTTGTTTATTTGTGTGTGTGTGTGTGTGGCCAGCTCAGCCTACCAGGGGGTGGGGCTGGCTGGCATGTGGTGCTGGGGGATTGAACCATGGTCCCTGTGCTTTGTTAAGCTTGTTCTAACTAGGTGCTTTAGACCACTGAGCCATCTCACCAGCCCCAACATGGTTTCTCTTATATGAGAAATCCAGAGAAAAACAAAAAGCATTTTTTAAATTTAGCATTTAGTGGTTAAGATTAAAAAAATTCAAACTCTGTATTGAAATTATTTCAT